AGCAAACACCTCAGACAGGACAGTGCTCTGAGCCCAAGTGAAGCCAGAACCTCCTCAGTTCCCCAACTGCTTATTCTGTCTTTGGAGCTGTGCTTCTAGCTCAGGGCAGGCTCTGGAAGGAAGATTTTGGGATCTTCTTAAACATATTCATAATCTGGTTTTCTTAAGTAGGACTTTTTGCTGGGAATCTCAGTGTTCTTTTTTTAGCATTGTTGTCTCTATGACTCAGAATTTAATTACTTGTGCTTTTGTGTGTGTGGCTGTTATGTTCCATGAAATCAGAATGAATCCTCTGTTATCTGGCATATTAAGGGACAAGGCATCTGATAGATATTTTCATTAATGGGTGCCATGTATTCCATATGTACAGTGCTTTTGAAGAGTTAACAAAGTAGAATCTGGGAGTTTAGCGTTGGAAGGATTAATTTAGTATACCTTCACTGTTTTAAAAATGAGGAAATTGAGGCTCAAAGATTTGAATAATGTGCAAGATTACATGGCCGATTGCTGATGGGGTTGGGAGTAGGAAATAGGGCTCCCGAATGCCTACACGTGTTCACTGTATCACAGAATACAATAAAATATACTTAAACTAAAAAAATCTATAGATCATAATTTAATTTCCATTGGTTGATATATAAGACTCCCCCAGAGGACTTTATATATGTAAACCCCATACATTTTGGAATGCAATATTTGTGGTATGTAGTCAGAACACTGGCTCTAACAGTTTTTCATGCTTTATATTACATGAAAGCTCTTGAGATGAAAATCACTCGGGAATATTACGGAAGTGTTTACACGTCTGCCTTTGTGTGTACGTATAGATATGATAGGGATTCCAAATTTTCCTCGTTTTCATCCAACCTGATGCTCAAGAATTGGATCAGAGGCATACACCTCATTTTTAAGTTTAAAAGCTTTCCTCCCACTGGGTGGGGTTATTGGCCAGGGGAGTTTGTTCGTTTTCATTGAAGACTTTTAGGATATTCTGTCTTGTGTCTTTAGGATATTCTGTCTTGTGTTTTTACAACAATCTTCATCTGAAGTGGTTGGGTGATGGAGAGTTCTAATTGAGTAATGGCTGGAATTAATTCTATTTTTCCTCCATAGCTCTCAACTCAAGTACTTCTTAGTGTCCATATTTAGTATCTTTGCTGGAAAGGTAAATAGATATTCTCTTTTGGACTTTAGTATGGTAACATTTAATGATTTTTATTAATAATATTAGGATTTAAACTTTATAGATATAATACTTGCAAACAGATGCTGCATCCCCCTTGACCAAAGAAAGTGGAAAAACCTTGCTTGAAATGTTTCAACCGAATCAAATTTAGTAAACTTGGGTATTTATTTTGACTTAAGTTTTCTGAAAATATCTACTACAACAAAGGAATCATTGTCAAACTACCTGTAAAATATGACCATATGTAAAATAAGAGAGTGCCTTAATTTCACTTTTACAACATGATTTATTTTGCAGTATGTGAGCTTAAATCTCCCTCTATGAGTGATTTCCTGTGGGGTCTAGAGAACTCTGGCTGGTTAAGGCACATCAAGGCTATCATGGATGCAGGAATCTTCATTGCAAAGGTACGCAATTGCAGAGAAAATAAACTAAGGGGTGGACTGGCAAGCGACTCTGATTTCAAAATGGGGGTCCAGCTCACCTGCCGCCCAGGAGCTCCCTTGTACTAAGCTGTGCTGTGTTGAATGTGTAGCTGGCTTTGCAGACCTCCATGTAGCTTGTGCACTGAAGATGTGATTTTGTGAAAGAGTACAGTGCTCAGTTGATAGTATGACGGCACAGTGATCAAATGGTAAAATATTTCCAGAATATTCATTCTTTCATTAGGCATCATCCTGGATGGAGGAAAGAATTTTCTCTAGGAGAGTACAACCAAATGTGCGTTACATCACTTATATGAACCTGAGGCTTACAGCAGTTGATCCTTCTTTTTAGTCATGGTATAAACAAAAGTCATGTTCCTGTAGCTAGCAGGTAGATTCCTTCTGCCATAGGAATAATCTTGCTGCAACTTTCTTATAAATTGTTTTTGAAGGCATTGTCTATTGTGTTGTTCAGTGTTTTTTTTAAAAAATGAATTCCTCTCAGATATATAAGAGACCATATCTTTTCTAATGACATGGTATACTCCCCTTTATTAGATAACCATTTATTCAGCAACTGTTTATCTAGTGCCAGGTTCTAGGTGCTGCAGATGCAATGCTGAATAAGCCAGATCAAGTGTCTCATAGAACTCACATTCTGGTATGGGAGGCAGAAAATAAATAAATCTAATGAAAACAGAATTTTAGGTAGTGATAAATGCTGTGATTAAATCTCTACCATGTCTCTCAATTTATGTTTCCTGCAAGGATATTCAGCTAAAAAAAAAACGGTGTGCATTTGCAATAACAAATAGAAATTATTTTCTGAAATAATTTTTTCCTATTGTCGCCTCCTTTTCCCACCCCTGGATCCATTACTTGGCTCTCTTATCTGCAACTTCATAATTTTATAATTTATAATTTTTGTGCCTTACTTTTTTTTGGGAAATTATCGGGTCCAGTAGCAGCTCCAGAATTTCAGTAAGGCTTCATGTGGAAACCCAGAGGGGAGGAGAGAGTGTTGAAGATGGCTTAGGAGATGTGTCATGAAGATATGTTTGCACAGGAAGTGTACTTTTATTTATTTAGTATATATGTTTATTGGTGGTGCCTTGAGTATGGCTGCTCGATACAATAAAAAGGGAAGAAGAAGTTGTAGCTACCAGCACCAGGCAACTCCTTGGCTCTGCCCTAAAGAGGTAGGGCATAAACACTAAATAAATGAATGGACGTTTTTGTTTTTGGCCTGTTTCTTTCTGTAAGTGTACACCCAAACCTGGTTCTGATGGGAAGATTTTCCTTTTTATGGCCATTCTTTTGTGACTCTGCTGGTACTGTGTTTTTCAGGCAGTTTCAGAGGAAGGGGCAAGCGTGCTTGTTCACTGTTCCGATGGCTGGGACAGGACCGCTCAGGTGTGCTCGGTGGCAAGCCTGCTGCTGGACCCGCACTACCGGACTCTTAAGGGCTTCATGGTGAGTGTGGCTGCTGGGCTGTACCCACAGTCAGTGCCTGGACCAGGAGTGGACCTCTCTTTTCACAACCATTGGCAACTGCTTTTTTCTCATCAGTGTTATTTTTGAGAAGCTCAGCAAGATCAATTAAAGGGAATAAGGTCAAATAGGCTTGGAATAAAGAGGTGAATTTCTGAGACACAGAAACCATTTCAAATCAAGGCTATTAAATGTGAATTTGGGGGCAAATATAAAATATATTTTATATTTATAGCTTGTAAAACAGTGAGTTTTATATATTATTTGCTCATAAGTTATTTTAAATTGGAGGTAATGTGAATATATAATAGAATACTTTTTTAGAAAAAAAAATTTGGAGGAGAAAGATTTTCTATATTGTACATGCCAAAAGTCCTTTGGAGAAAAAATTATTTTTACTTTCAGGTAGTCTTTCATGATTCTGGGTGATGACACTGAAAATTTCAGTGGTTGTGTGTGTTCTTTGCTGAAATTATGAGTACATCCTTTCCTAGAGTTTGAACCTTATAGGTGTGTTTCAGAATGCAACATGTTGCTTCTAACTACAGAATGCTGGCTAATTGCCTGAGATGGAGAAATTTGGGCTAAGCTGGTACAGTTACCTTAAGGTGAATTGCCCTCTTAACCTGACTCGGTAGAAAGTGCTCCAGTGAATCCTGAGTCCCTGCTAGGGATGGATGCTGACAACGGAGCCCTAAAGGAGCATCTGTGGTGCTCGAGCTCCTTTATCAATAACGTCAGCTGATGCCCTGGGGATGAGTGAAGAGGCAGTCTGCCTCTCTGGCACTTTTTGTTTTTTGAAAGTGTCCAAGGACTTCAGCTACCTGTGATAGCATTAAGACCTCAGAGGTACTTGCTGCAGGCCCCTCCTCCTGGATGGAGGCCAAGAGGGCTGATTCCCTCTCTGACATTTGGAGAGTAAAGCAGTTCCCAGTCACAAACTGCCATGAGGCCATTTTCCTGCACACATCCTTTTGCACCATGAACTCATTCTCACTGTGCCCCAGTAAACCATTAAACTCACAACCCAAAGAAAATGCCTTTAGTGCTGTGAAAGACAGATTTCTAACCAGCCTACATTTTGGGGGAGGTGGGAATCTCTGGCTACTTTTAGAGCATTGGTGATATTGATGGAACTATGCCATAATTATTACATATCTAAAAAGCATCCAGACTCTTTCAGACTATAAACTCATGTTAACACTAATTCCAAACAGGCCTAAAACTTCTGTAATACACCCCTAATCTCATCATCTTAGAATTCTTCTAATGGTAATAAAGATCACTGGAAAACATTCCTAATTACTTTTTGTAAAAATGTTGTTTTACATTATGCTGAGAGGCAGCGTCACATATTGACTAAGAGATGGGGTTTAGAGCGGAGACAGCTGGATTATGAATTGGTATCCACTGCTTGCTGGTAGCATGATCTTGGACGAATACATAACCTCTCTTTGCTTTGGTCTCTCCTATAAAGTGAGTGATAAAAACCTATCCCACAAATAAATGAGCTCATACCTGGCACATAGGAAGCACTCAGTGAGTGGTGTCACTGCGTTTTTATACATTAATTCTTATTTATTATTCCTATGGATGACCTTCAACTGTGCCCTTTCCATCTGTGTCATTACATTGGTGGATAATGCCTGCCCTTTCATTGCAGGTTACCCCAGGATAGTGGCTTTTGCTGCAAGTACCTCTGAATTCTTCAGCATTATTGGTTATTGGTCTCTTATTTTTCCTCGTTTGCTTCGCTCTGTGATATTTATCTTCTTTCCTGTGTAGGTATTAATAGAAAAGGACTGGATTTCCTTTGGTCATAAGTTTAATCACAGGCAAGTAATATTTAAGAATGTGTTTTGAATATTTAGAATAAAAAGACTGAAGTTTTCAATTGAATGTCTAGGGGGAAACAGTTTTATTTTTGAAACGTTTCTTGGTGTATCTTATTTGGAAAGTTCAGTTTTTTTACATATGTCATAACCCAGATAAATGAAGTTCTAACTCTAACTACTCTTGGTAATGGGTGGGCAGAACTGTTAATTTTTTCCATCAGAGATAGAGGATACCTGTTTGTTAATTGAACCAGACAGGATAAGCCCTCTCACCCTCCTGCTGTCTACATTTACTAAATTATTCCGTTTTGAAAGTGTGAATATTCACTTTAGCCTGCAAGTTATGACATGGTGGTGGAACAGTTTCTCTTTGGTCTTCCACAGTGGGCGTCAAATTGGGCTGGTGCCAAGGCATTCATGTCAGAGTGAAGTTTGTCCCAGATACCTTGGAGAGGTGACATAGGACAGTGGCCCAAGCTTTGCAGCCAGACACATCCAACTACAAATCCATGGTGTGGTATTTACTATCTGACCTTGGCATCTGTCCTTTCTGACTTTTGGTGTCCCATCTGTGGAATGGGGATATCCTCCCACCATGGGGTGATAACAGGCATTTTTTTTTTAAGTATAGCTGGTCTAACTTCAGGACCGACCCATGTAATAGGCTCTCAAAGGTATGGAAGATATACATAGATATGATCTATATGTGGATATGATCTATCTGCGATTACTTGGAAACAAATGATGAGACAGGTTTTAACTTTGCTCTAGAAATGGAATATCCCTAGAAACTGGGGAAGCCACTGTTTATTCAACGTGCCTTTCTTCCCCATTCCTTCCCAACAAAGCAACACAAAAGTGAAAACCCCCCAAGTTGTTTAGACATTTCTTTTCGCCCTTTCATAGAGTGGAAGATTTATTTCAAAAGTCTGAATTAAAGAGCACCCCTTTTCCATGGAAAGTTTCCCTGTATTTTATCTCTAGCACTAACACTTTCTGAACTTTAAATTTAAAATTTAAATTAAATTTAAAATCTGAATTTTAAAGTTATTTTTCCACTTATTCGTCATAGCAAATTTATAAGATTTATCTAGGAATTAAGGTTGCTTTTATGATTGTTTTTGCATTTGTAGCTTTCTAATTAAAAAAAAAAAACAACCCTTGCCTTAAACAGTTTCTAATACTTTTATAGATACGGCAATCTAGATGGTGATCCAAAAGAAATCTCTCCAGTTATTGACCAGTTCATTGAGTGTGTCTGGCAGTTAATGGAACAATTTCCCTGTGCCTTTGAGTTCAATGAGAGGTTTTTGATTCACATTCAACATCACATTTATTCCTGCCAGTTTGGAAACTTTCTATGTAACAGCCAAAAGGAGAGACGAGAACTCAAGTAAGTATTTTGGTGTTTAAGTTTTATCTAAAGTTTTTTATTTGGATCGAGAACTTTAGGTGGCCTTTCATAATTTTGAAGAGTATTTCATTCAGTCATATATCTATACTAAGTTCTTTTCTTTTTCCTGACATCATTTCATTAACGATTTAAATGTTTAAAAGGTATGTACAGGTTCATTTTTCCTCAAGTTGCTGCCTGATGTAAACAGGCTGAAACACTTGACACACTCATATTTAAAGGAAACTTTCTGGAGTCAAGGACAGTGGTTTTTGCATTTCAAAGGAAAAAGTTAGACATCTTTGGTGGGTATACTATCATAAGAATAGGAAATATAACTGGGAGAGCAAATTTGAAACTAAATTTATTTTAGTTTATTCAGACTAAAGCTGTATTGATTTATCCAGTAGTAAGAGTAGATAAAATGTAGACTTTAAAATAAATTATAGTCAAAAACTTAATAAAATAATTTAGGAAGTACAAATGAGAGAACATTTTTGAAATTTTTATGGAATACATGATTTCAACTATAGTATGCAGCATCATCAGATTTAATTTGGGTAATGATCAGTTCAAATAAAATAGATTCCAATAGTTTTATACTGTCTGAGTTGAACAGAAAGAAAATTAGTTTTTCTGGTGGATACTAGTTTGTTTTCTCCAAGGAGCTTCAAGTTTGATCCAGGGAAATGGAGATGATTTAACCCTTTGTACTCAGAGACATCTCACAGATCATCTACCGGCAACTTAACTGCACTTTTTTACAAAATAGTGAAAAACTAATCACTTCATATTAAATAGTATAGTGTTAGAACCAAATCTTATTATAATGATCCATGGCTTATAATGGAATTTTGGACATTGAGGAGCTTATTTATGACAAAAGTGTTTTATCTTATATTTTTCTAATGTGTGGTAATATGTGAAACAGTTACCAACAAGTGTTGCAGGTTCATTGGATACATATTGTGCAATAGTAATTTGTTTGACAGCTTCCACCTGGTGTTTTTCTATTCAAGCAGATGATGCAGTCTTGTTTTCTTCCTCACACATTAATAATATGTAATTGTTCAGTCTGTTGTTCAAAGATGACAAGGAAGGATGCACTTGTGATTCCTGACAACCACTTCTCAACAGATTGAACAGATGCTATTTTGATGCTTGGTACAGTATATAGGAGTTAGCAACACAAATATCTAGTCCCTAGAAAAATAATTTCCTCCATAATTTTAAAGATTTTTGAAAAAAAACAATATGTAGAAGCATATTGATCTATACTGCTCATATTTGGAACAGAATTTAGAATCATCTCAGGCCTTTTGACTGATAAATCTCCATCACATAAAGTCCTTGTGGTAGATGTCACTACTACATGATTCCAAGTGCTGAGAATTTTAATGATCTTTTTGTCCTTCCACACAAGAAGCATATTTTTCTTATATGCTACTGTTTTTGTTTTCGATAAAAACTTTGGCTTTTTGTGCTGTTATTCCCTTTCGGCTTTGTACCAGTAGGATGACATTTCATCTTTAGTGGCTTTTCTGCTAGGATAATAGTAGTGTAGTATCTGTCAATAGACATGTAGTATCCTGCTGCATTGGGAACTTTTTCCAACAACTTTTCATATAAATATAATACAATTCTGGTGCTTACCAGAAGATCAGGTCAGATGATGTTTTTGGATGTTGTGCTGCCATAGCAGGAAGGTATTGAGGAAGGATACTGTTTTTGAATCAACTAGTGCCTAAATGCATGTACCCCATTTAGTAGGCTTATTTGGATTGCATGTTAAAAATGGTATTTGCCCTTTAAATCGAACAATGGATTTGGCAACACAAATTGCTTGACCTAATATGAAATAGTGCAAAAATTGTGAATCAGTATATATTCCAATTTCTGGCCTTTCAAGTACAAGTTCTGATCGTCCCATTACTCAATGCAGGTGTCTTCAAATGAAGCTTCCAGAACATTTTCATAAACCTTTCTGTACTGAATGTTTCCAAAGCGTATTTTACTATTGAAAGCAGTTGACCAGTACTCTTAAAAATTTGGTTATTGAATTATTCACATATTTGGGGTAATTGCAGTTAAAGCTAAAAATTCCTGTCGGTGTCATACCACTTATGCTAAATTGATTTGTGTGATTGTTGTGGGCAAACAAATCGGAGAGACCGTGACACTGAGGCTGATAAGCAGGAAGCTGCATTTATTACTGGAACGCAGCATTCGACCCAGCCGACTCCAGTCACAAAGGCTGGGCCCAGATCACAGTCAGGTATGAGTTTATATAGGTTTTACATTGGCTTTGGGGGAGAAGGGGCTTTTCATGGTGTAAGGTTTTGTACTTTTTGTAACAATAGTACAAGCTTGTGGTTTTGACTGCAGGCACTGAGCAGGGGCTTGTGGTTTTAGCTGCAGGTACTGAGCACGGTGTTTTGCGTTAACAAACTGAAATATTTTAATTGTGATATACGTTTTGAAGCATTTTCTAGAAGCCCCCACCACATGATAGCTGCTTTTTCCTTATGTTTGCATCCTTATGTTTGTATAATGATATCTTTTATTACACTATCCACTAATTTATTTGTAAAATACAGAGTAAAATAGTTGTTTCTCTTACGTTGCTTGCGATTTGTTGGTCCTGTTGTTTGAGGATGTATAACAAAATTTATTCTTGTTGGATGATCGTCTTTCTGTAACATCTTCCCATCCTTCACTTGACTTCTACTTCTTCGAAACTATTAACACTTTCACTGATATCACTTTCTATTCCATTTGCCCGTTTTCTTCTTGGTGGGATGATATCACTATCACTACTATCATTTTCTTCTCCATCAATGTTATTTTTTCTAACTTATCTGTATAAAAGTCTAAATGTAACTCATCTTCACTGCTGCTTATAACTTTCACTTTTGTCTTTTCACTTTGCCATTTTTCTGTAAACTAAACAAATGGATAAAAATTTGATTGTAAATTACAAAATGAAATGAAAGAATATTACTTTTCCAATTTTATTTTTCCAACTTAGTCCAAATATATATATTTGATCTGTGTGCCACTTGATACTTCAGTATGATCTGCCTTCAACTTCAAAAGTCTTTTTCAAGACTACAGTAATTTGCTTATCTAGTTTTTCAAGTTATGCCATATGATACAAAGGGTAAACCCACAGCTGCCTTATACAAACGCTTGCTGTCACTAGCTTCTCTTACAAAGTGTCAGCGCCACTTTGAAAGCATTTCCCACATTCTCTTTCTACGTGACTCCAGCTGGTATTTTTCAATGTATATCTCAGTATATATTCCATCTCTTTGCTTTTTTTCATAGTATTTGAATGGAAGACTCCAAGGAAACATACTCTTTAGAAAAAATGTGCTGGCAGAAGTTTATCTTGTATAATCACTAGCAATCTCTTTATATCCCTGAGAGGGGACCTTTGAGAGGTTTGCTAGACTTATGATGTCCCCTTGGAGGGGACATCCATGTGCAAAGGGCTACAAGTAGCAGACTGCATCCTTTAGGCTCACCTGTTTTCCTTGAGTTTTTTGTGGTTTGTTGCACTTGACTAACCAATTCTAACGATGTCTGCTTGGGTTTGAATTCTAGCTTTTCTACTCTCTAGCTATGGAACTTTGGGAAATGACTTAATCTCTCCATTCCTTGGTTTTCTCATTTGTAAAATGGACATATGTCAATGAGGATGAAGTGAGATAAAATGTGAGATGTTTTGTATAATAGCCAGCAAATAATAAATGTTCAATGACCACTTGAGAGGAAAACTCCCCCAAATTACAGCAGAGCTTTTTTCTTTTCTTCTTCTTTTTTTTCATTGAGAGGAATTAAACATTTTGTCAAGGTCAGTACTGTAAAGGAGTTGAGATTATTATAATGTTCTTGCACTATACCATGAAGCCACAATGATTGTAAATTCCTCTGCTACAGGACAAGGACACTTTACAGATAGCAATTATTAGTTCCTTTCCAGCTTTAATATTATATATCTACTGTTCATAAGAACCAAAAGAGGTCATTTTTAGACTTACTTTCTTTTTTCTTTTTAAAGATGTGGAGCACAATTTAGGATTAGATATACAGTTGTTCATTATGCAGGTATCCTTGCTGATGAGGTGTGCCCCTCCCTATCCTGGCAGTTTTCCTCAACTGCCAATCCTACCCCCCTTGCCTGGCAGTTTCCCACTACTGTTAATCCCTTTATTATAGTATTATGATAATTGTTCAGGGTCTGCTTATAAGTGAGAACATATGGTACTCTGTTCTTTGTTTCTGTGATAGATCACTGAGTATGATCGACTCTAAATTCATCCAAGTTGCCGCGAAGTCTGTATGTTTGTCCTTCTTTATGAATACATAATACTCCATTGTGTATATGTACCACATTTTTAAAATCTGGTCCAGCTTCGATGGGCAGCATGGTTTGTTTCTTGTTTTTGCTATTGTGAATAGAGATGCAACAAACATGCGTGTGCAGATTTTTTTTGTAGAATGATTTGGGTTCCTTTGGGTATATTCCCAATAGAGGGATTGGTGGGTCATATGGAAGGTCAATTTCTATTTCTTTCAGAAATCACCACACTGTCTTCCAAAGAGGTTGCACTAGTTTGCCTTCCCATTAGCAGTATAGAAGTGTTCCTTTGTCTCCACATCCTCACCAGCATCTGTTGTTACTAATGATGGCCATTCTTACTGAGGTTAGGTGGTATCTCAATGTGGTTTGATTTGCATTTCTCTGATGATTAGTGAAGCTGAGCATGTTTTCATGTGTTTGCTGGCTGCCTGTGTATCTTCCTTAGAGAAATGTCTATTCATGTTTTTTGTTCACTTTTTACTGGCGTTTTTTTCTTTTCGGCATGTTTGAGTTCCTTGTAGATCCTAGATGTTAGACCTTTGCCAGATATACAGTTGGCAAATATTTTTTCCCATTCTGTGGGCTGCCTCCCTGCTCTCTTGATGGTTTCTTTTGCTTTGCAGAAGCTCGTCAGTTTGATGAGGCCCCACTTGTCTATCTTATTTCTTTTGGTATGGGCACTTAGGGTTTTGATCAAGAATTGGTTGCCAGTTCCAATTTCTATAAGGGTATCTTCTGTATTTTCTAAAATTCATATAGTCTGAGGTTTTACGTTTAGGTCTTTGACCCTTTCAGAGTTAATTTTTGTGTATGATGATAGGTAGGGGTCCTGTTTCAATCTTCTGCAGGTGATCAGCCAGTATTCCCAGTACCATTTACTGAATAGGTTTTCCTCTCCCCCGTGGTTGTTGGTGGAGGCTTTGTCAAAGATGAGATGGTTGAGAAATTGAGGCCTTGCTTCCAGTTCCATTATCCTGTTCCATTGGTCTATATGTCTGGTCTTGTACCATTACCAGGTTGTTTTGATTATTGTAGCCTTATAGTAAAGTTTGGAGTCTGGAAGTGTGATACCTCCTGCTTTGTTTCTTTTGCTATAGTTTTGGCTATTCGTGGTCGTTTATGTTTCCATATGAATTTCTGTATTGTCATTTCCAGGTCTGAGAAGAATGATGCTGGTAATTTAATGGGTATTGGGTTGAATCTGTGGATTGCCTTTGGTAGGATGGACATCTTAACAATTTTGATTCTTTCAATCTACAAGCATGGAATATTTTTCTATTTGTTTGTATCTTCTTGAATTTCTTTGAACAGTGTTTTGTAGTTCTCATTGTAAAATTCTTTCACTTCTCTGGTTAGGAAGATACCGAAGCATTTCTTTTGTGTGTGGCTGCTCTGCATGGGATTGTGCTATTTATTTGGTTTTCTGCCTGCTTGTTGGTATATAAGAATGCAACTGTCTTTTGCACATTTATTTTGTACCCTGAGACTTTGCCAGTCCTTTATCAGTGCAAGCAGATTTTTGAGATTCTTTTGGATTTTCATGGCATAGGATCATTTTGTCAGCAAAGATAGGGATAACTTGACTTCCTCTTTTCCTATTTGGATACCCCTGATTTCCTTCTCTTGTCTAATTGCCCTAGCTAGGACTTCCAACACAATGTTGAATAAGAGGGGTGAGAGTGGGCCACCTTGTCTTATTCCAGTTTTCAGAGGAAATGTTTCCAGTTTCTGCCCATTTAGCAATATGTTACTGGTGGATTTATTGTAGATGGCACTTATTCTTTTGAGGTATGTTCCTTCTATACCTAAGTGTTTGAGGGTTTTTATCAAAAGCTTTTTCCGTATCTAATGAGATAATCATGTGGTTCTTGCTTTTGCATCTGTTGATGTATTTAATTATGTTTATGGTCTTGGAAATGTTGAACCAGCCCTGCATCCTGGGTATTAAGCCTACTTGGTCATGGTGGATGATTTCTGAGATGTGGTTTTGGATCCGGTTTGCCATAATATTATAGAGGATTTTTTTTTTTTTTTGGCCCATTTTTTTAATGGGGCTGTTTGTTTTTTTCTTTGCAGTGCATTAGAGTTCCTTGTAGATCCTAGATATTAGGCCTTTGTTGATATACAATTGGCAAATATTTTTTCCAATTTTGTGGGCTGTCTTCTTGTTCTCTTGATGGTTTGCTTTGCAGAAGCTCATCAGTTTGATGATGTCCCACTTGTCTATCTTATTTCTTATGGTATGAGCACTTAAGGTTTTGATCAGGAATTGGTTGCCAGTTCCAAGTTCCATCAGGGTGTCTCCTGCATTTTCTGATTCTTAAAATTTGAGGTTTTACGTTTAGGGCTTTGATCCATTTGGAGTTATTTTTTGTGTATGGTGATAGTTAAGGGTCCTGTTTCAATCTTTTGCAGGTGATCAGCCAGTTTTTCCAGTACCATTTACTGAACAGGTTTTCCTCTCCCCAGTGGGTGTTGTTGGAGGCCATCAAAGATGAGTTGGTTGAGAAATCGAGGCTTTGCTTCCAGAATCTCTGTCCTGTTCCATTGGTCTATATGCCTGGTCTTGTACCAATACCAGGCTGTTTTGATTACTGTAGCCTTATAGTAAAGTTTGAAGTCTGGAAGTGTGATACCTCCTGCTTTGTTTCTTTTGCTAAGGATTGTTTTGGCTATTCGTGGTCATTTATGTTTCCATATGAATTTCTGTGTTGTCATTTCCAGGTCTGAAAAGAGTAATGTTGGTAATTTAATGGGTATTGCATTCAGACTTATTTTCTTTATAACAGAATTCAAGAGAGAACATACTCATTATGGGCTCACCTGTGGAAGAATCGGGCTGACTACCTGAATCCTCTATTTAGAGCAGATCACAGTCAGACCCAGGGAACCCTTCACCTTCCTACAACACCATGCAACTTCATGTACAAGTATGTATACCTCTAAGAACTGTCTAGCTATGGTATGAACTTGGATTCTAGTAATTTTAATATTCGGAGGCAAAATCTATGAAACACTGATCTTCAAGGAGTTTTTGGATCAAAGCAAAACAGACAAAGATGCTTGAATGTCAGATATGGTATTTTTTCTAGTGTCTCCTCTCTCTCTTCATTCTCCCAAGTGTGGAATTCTCTTTAGAAGTGATATTTTATAAGAATGATACCTTGCAAATAGAAGTTCCAATTTATTTTTTAAAGGCAAAAGAAGTGACAGGTGTGGTGGCTCATGCCTATAATCACAGTACTTTGGGAACTGAAGTGGGAGGATCACCTAAGGCAAGGAATTTGAGACCAGTCTGGGCAACATAGCGAAACCTCATCTCTACAAAATATTAAAAACAAACAAACAGCCTTGTGTGGTGATGTGTGCCTTTAGTCCTAGTTACTCAAGAGGCTGAGGCAAGAGGATTGCTTCAGCCCAGGAGATTGAGGCTGCAGTGAGCTATGATGATGCCACTCCACTCCAGCCTGGGCAACAGAGTGACAGACTATGTCTCTAAAATAAATTAATAATAATAATAAAATAAAGTAATGCTTACTTTAAGTTAAAAAGCAAAAGAAAGAAAAAGCCAAATGCCGTCTAAGTCAAATATGGAATCCCAAGTTTTAGTAGTAGTCACGACATAGCTTACCTTCTATCTCTGCTGAATCAAGTCCTGGTAGAAATATTTACCTTGTGGAAATAAATTATTGAGATTGTATATATTGGGAGAGACAAGCGGGTGGGCATTCTACAAGTTCTACAAGGTATATAACAGATCTGTACCTTTTGTCTTTTGGCTTCCTCTCAAGGCTTGTATGATATGAAAACAAAAAGACAGAATAAATTGAGAAACCACATTCCTTCTTCCTACTCACTCTCAACACACACTTAGTAACTTCTCTTCCCCTATAAATTTCATTCCTTGAGATGTTTTTATTCTTGTTTCAATCTATTTTCCTAGAACTTTGTAGCAGAATATTAATCCTATTATACTAAGGAAAGCGTCTCCATAGTTTGTATTAAACTGTTTTAAGAGCTATTGAGACATAATCAATTGTATTGCAACTAATTTACTAAAAATAGCCAGTAAAAGATTTTATTGAGGATCAAGCACCAGTCTAGGCACTGTAGATAAACCCTTAAAGTACTTTTCTACATAAATAAAAAAGTCTAAGGAAAACCTTATGATAACCCCACTTATTCTCATTTGCATTCCAGTATTCTTTACTGTGTAGAATAAAAAGGAGAGGATTTATTGGAAATGTCAATTTTTGGTGGTTGGGATAAAGTAAAAGGTAAAAACTGCAAGTTTAAAATACTGCCTTTGCAGCTGAAACATTTTAAAAATAGAATCTACTAATTTTCAAAGTTCCCAACTAAGAGCCATTTTTTAAAACAAAACAAAAAAAGAAAGAAAATGGTAATGTGCTACTTCAGTCTATTTTAGAAAAATATATCATGTGCTTTCTAATTCACTATCATATATACAAGTAGATGCTTCATGAACATATTCTCCCCAAAAGATGCTTAAGACCAAGAAAGAGAAAACATCAACATGTAATTATTAAGTAGTGGCTTTTTTGAGCCTAACATTTAGCACTGGATTATTATTAAGACCTAGGATGTGAATTTTCATCATGATGTGTTTAGCATCATAAAACTCTGCTGTCCTTTTTAGGTTTTGGAGTGGAATGTATAACCGTTTTGAAAAGGGGATGCAGCCCCGACAGTCAGTTACAGATTACCTCATGGCAGTGAAGGAGGAAACTCAGCAGCTGGAGGAAGAGCTGGAAGCCTTAGAAGAAGTAAGCCACTTTGTTAATCTGTTTTCTGTGTCCATTTCTTGAAGAGCACTGCTCCCACGAAAGCCTCTCAAGGCTTGGTATGTAAAATGTGATAGCATAGCCATTTCATATTTTTAGCCAATGGACAACCTAAAACACAGTCCCGTTCAGGTAAGTACCCAGATACCTGAAGCCCAGACCTAGGCATTTATGACATTTCAGACCTCTGGCTTGTGGCTCAGTTCTGCAGTTTGCTGAACTAGTTGGCTGTTCCTATTATAGGTCAGCTTTCTTGTTACTGTTATTTGAGAGTACTAAAAGTGATTCTTTCTGGAAAAATGTGAAAAAAAGTGAAGAAGTGAAAGAATAAAATCAGATACATGCACTTGTAATAAAAATCTACTTCTCCACTTCTAAGAGTTATATAATATTAATCTGTAAGTGGTAATTATAGGAGAGATTGACTATAGTCTATTTTTTGGCTTCTTTAACTTCCCTGTACTTGGACGGGGAGGTTATAATATACTTAAGTGCTTTTCCTAATTGGATGACTTTGTTTCCAGTGGTACCACTCTAGCCTTGTTCACCAAACCTACTTGGGTTCTTGCTTTATTCTGCCTCACTCATCTTCTTAGAGACCCATAACATCCTCATGGCATTTGCTTATTCAAGAATTTGCAATGAATTCTTGTCTGGAACCTGAATTCTGAATTGAGGCTTAATGTTTTAAATATAAGGAAACCCACCTCCCTCCCTCCCTCACATGTAGTGTAGAAAACAGTATTAGGATGAAGGCTGGGAAATTGCCAATTGTTAAATTCTTCATTATACTGAGAAAGGAATAACGTGGCTAGAGGAGAACTTTCAGTTTCCTATTTTTAGACTGGTGAATGTCTAAATATAGACTCTGTTGGCAGAGTATCACAAGTTTAATTCTAAGTCCACTCCTACCCAGTGGATAGTCACCTATTGAAAATGTCGACCTGGGGGACATGGTGGTTTATGATTCAAAGCTCCAACAGTAGAGATGGTCATTTAGGAGGTAGCTGGTGAAGTTGACTCCTCTATTTCCCCCATAATATTCTAGAAAACATCACCTTTTAAGGTATGAATACCATGAAAAGCTTTAAGTCTAGAGTTGCAAACTCAGGTACATACTGGAACCAGACAGATAAAACAGATACACAAAGTTAAACTATTTGTTTTAAGAACTTGTGAATTTAACTATAGTATAAATCTGCCAAGTTCAAACAATGTCCTTGGACCTATATGATGAGGTCTGCCTTACATAATTATGTTTCACCCAATCATAGCATTTTTAAGCCCTGTCAAAATCACCACCTACAAGAAATCCTGATGCCTGGATTCTGTGGGAGATTCTGTGGGAGAATCATTAGAATGCCATGGATGATTGTGAATTGCCCTAGGGCTGAGAGACCTTAAGAGAACTGAAATGAGCCACAGGTTAGGTTTTTAGAATTCTTGAGCCGTGGTGGAAGCTTGACATTTGCCATTCAAAATCCTCTCATGTCACTGGGCCAATTTTATTGACTCTTCCTAAAGACATTCAAGGCTTATGGAACTCTTAGGATTCTATTCCAGCTTTTTGTTAAAATAATTTAAAAGTACTTAGAATATCTAAAAGTACCTTAATTTTAAAATGTTGCATTATAACAAAATTCCTTAGCCTAGCATGTGAGATTTTCCCATAATCTAATCCACCTTTTCAGCTTTATTTTCCACTATTCCTCTTGCTAAATGTAACTTTCTGCTTGTACACAATGTATACTGCCCTGCCTTTGTGTTTTTCCTCACTGTCCCACCTACCAGGACTAAAACAGATACACAAACATACTAACCATCACCAGAATGTCTAAGTTTAAATCTTCCACAGTCCTGTTAAAGTGTTCCTTTCTCCCTGAAGCTTACTTAACTGTGCTCTCTTCCTTCTAACCACACCACTCCATCTCTCCTAAATAACCTTTGCCTCTCGCAAATTTCTACATTACATGAACTCTGCCTCACTTTGCTATCACACTCCAAGTTCTTTATGGCTGTATCTGTACTTATCTCTGTTCCTCAACTACCCAGCTCAGTACTTTCACACATAAGCATATGAATGCTTTCTGAAAAACAGTACTACTTGATCTTATAATACCTCCTTCTGCTGACATCAAGGGATGAAATCTGGTAAAATGCATTCTGAATAACCCATGGCCTGATGAATAGAGAAACAAAATGTGGTATACCTGTGTAATGGAATACTATTCAGCCATAGAAAGGAATGAAGTACTGATACATGCTACAACATGAACGAGTGTTGAGAACACAAGCTAAGAGAAAGAAGCCAGATGCAAAAGACTATATATTGTACATATCGTATGATTCCATTTATACGACATATCCAGACTAGGCAAAACCAGAGAGATCGAAAGTTGATTAACGGTTGCCAGGGGCTGTGGGGAGGAGGAAAAGGGTAATGACTGCTAAGAAGTATGGGATTTTTTTTTTAAGTGGGGGGGAGTTATAAAAATATTTTAGAATCAGTAGTGATGGTTGCACAGACTTGTGACTCTAACTAAAAAACACTGGACTGTATACTTTAAAAGGGTGAATCTTATGGTAAGTGAATTATATCTCAATTTAAGAGCTAGATAATAAACAGCTCATTCCTGATTTTTAAAAAAGGTATTTTGAGTTCACAGGGAGATAATCATTATGTAAAACCATATAGATATGGAAAAGAGTGAAACTAGTCGCTGTCAGGTGCTTTGTGTAATATTACTTATATTTATAGAAAAACTATGTCAAACATTACCATCCTTATATTAGAGATGAAAAAGCAAGCCTCACAGATTTTTATCCAAGGCCATAAAGTCTAGGTTTGAACCCACATCCATCCAAATCCCTCTAGTTGAGAGATAATGACTACTAAAGGCATGCATGTACAGAAAAAGTGGTAAATTATTTATGATTTTTTCCTGAAGCTGTTATTTCTTTCTTAGAGGCTGGAAAAAATTCAAAAGGTCCAGTTAAATCACACTAAGGTGAAGAGTAAGCAAAGTGAACCCAGCAAACACTCAGGGTTTTCTACCTCAGAGAACAGCACGGCCAACACTCCCCAGGATTACAGTGGGAACATGAAATCATTTCCGTCCAGGAGCCCTTCTCAAGGCGATGAAGATTCTGCTCTGATTCTAACCCAAGACAATTTGAAAAGCTCAGATCCAGATCTGTCAGCTAACAGTGATCAAGAGTCCGGGGTGGAGGATTTGAGCTGTCGGTCTCCAAGCGGTGGTGAGCATGCACCAAGTGAAGACAGTGGCAAGGACCGCGACTCCGATGAAGCCGTGTTTCTCACTGCCTGAAGTTTCCCTTTGGAGTTCCAAAGTAAGGGACTCACGAGCAGCACTTCCAAAAATAAGGGAACTGTGCAATTTGTCATTAAAAAAACTTGAGAAATGGTACATGTCATTAGGAATTATAAAATGCAGTTATGAAAATCCAACTCTTAGTTTCTTCAGATGATGAAGAGGAGGAAGTAGCCGTTTCTTTTATCAAATATAAGGAAAATTATTCACCATTTTGAAACCCATTCTAGACTATGAAAATTGTAATCACTGCAGAGCAATTACTGCTATCATTACCCAAATTCTCAATATATTTTCTTCCTTATCGTAGCATGCATCTCCTAAAAAAGCCCCCAACGCCTTTCCTTCTCACCCATTATACTCTTGACTGTCTTATTGACTGACTTACAGAGGCAAATTTTGGCTTTTCTAAAACATTTAACATTACCACTTTCTGATTGTTATCAATATTTTAAACAGGGCACATTGTTGAGATGCATCCTTTCTGGTTAATAGATATATTCCTAAGGAGCTTTGTAATCACTTAAGCTTATCTTTCAGGAATAACAACCACTTTAACTTTTTAAAAAATATTTTGAACTGTTATGATAATTTTGTTGTCTTTGTCTGGAATCTCTTCTGTTTTTCATTCTTATTTTTAAAATGCAAGAACGTATAAATCACTTTTTTCTCTAACACTTGTTTAATACCTGTTAGGAGCCACATTCATTCTCTGGGTCTTTCAGATGATTTCAAATCATAGTAGCTTTCTTAATAACAACCTTTTATTACTACTCCAGAGACTATACTACTGACAACGTGGGCCAACTAACTACTAGCTTGATTCCAAAGTATAGCAATGTAAAATTAATAGGGTAAGACATCAGTGAGGAAAAATCCCAGTTAAGTACTAGAAAATCTGGTGGTCATGTCTATTTAAAGAGAATGTTTTGTCATCTCTCATTTTAGAAATTATGTAACTGGCTACTATGGTTTAATTAATAGTAGTAACATCTGATGACCACTGACTGCTGAAAGTTCTAAAAAGAGTTTTTGTTTTGTTGAAAAGCACATTTGAGGCAGAATCATTCCCCTGTCTCTACTGGGTGACCTAAACTTTTGATCTGAAGAAATGTAGTGGAGAAACGTTGCCATGTTAGGATAGTGATGATATTCACATTGTATGGCTGTTAAATATTAGTACATTGTAGAATGTAAAGGGATTGATTTAAAGTTAATTTTTACAATTTACGTCAATATTTTGAATGTGTGAATTTTTTCACAGGAGAATGTATTAAATCTTGCTGAAATGAAAGAAAGGGCAAGAAAGAGACATTGCTGGTATCTCTAGTATGAAAGATTTAAGGGATTGTAGCAATATATGCAGATGAAATTATATAGTATAGCAGTAATTGTGTCACTTGTCATATTTAAAAATAGAATAACTATATTAGAGACCTATAATATAAAAGTACTCTGTTAATGTAAAAAACAAAGCAAATATAATTCTTTTAGAATATAAAATTTGAGCATTCTCTGCTAAGCAGTTCTCAGATTAAATGCAAGGAATGTTTACTTATTTTCTGCAATATACTATATGTAACAGGAAACTCCTAGAAAATGATACTTAGGATAGAGTGGCAGTGACTTTCACATTTTCATAACGTAACTCACTTCATGCCAATCTTGTAGTCATTCACTCTTAGAAACTTTGTTGCCTGATATTGAGTATGTGACTTTAATTTCTTCCATTTGGCAGTGTATGTCTATAAAAATAATAAAATTTAAAAAAATGACAAAGTACCTATGCCAAACAGTACTATGCATTTATTTAAAAACCAAATATTATAAATATTTGATATTTTAAAACATTTTTAATGTGATGTCTTCCACAGCGGAGCCATAAACTTCAGTTCTCTCAACCTTTTTACAAGACTCTGTAATTTAAATACATGCTCATTTAGTTTACTTACTGGAAGTTAACCTAACACTGAAACTGATATAAAATGTTATGTTTATTGCTTATTAAAATGTTATTGTGCTTTTATAAATTCTTTAAAGAGCATGGCTAACCCAACAAGACAAAAATGTCTAACACTACATTTTCATTTAAAATCAAACATCAATCAGAAAGTGTTTTACTTAGGGCAGTGGTTTGAAGCACAGGGAATAAGCCAATGTAAAATTGACTCAAGGCATATTACTTCCCAATTAGTAACATTTAGAGCCCAACTGATTTAGTATTTAATGATATTCAGGCACATTTGATATGAAATAAGAGTTTGACCATGATTCAGCAAATCAAAATTGAACTTTTTATAGAGTAAAGGAAGGCAAGGAAAAAAATAGGGAAGTCAAAGAATAAAATTTTTTAAGAACACAAGATTAGTTTACTTCTCCTAAAAATGAATCTGACCCTGTCCTTCAATTTAAGCATATATAAATGATCAACCTACTTGACAAATATCTCTTGTGATATAAATACCCTAGTCTCAGTTTATTCCTAGAAGTTTCCTCCACCTTTGAAATGGGTATCTTTAGCATCTATCTCATTGATTTAGAACGTTCTTCTGTTTTGAGATATTAGCCTTTAAATCTTTATCCATGACAAATCCCTACCCTGCATGGTAACTCCTAAGTGTTTTTCTATGATTCTAATTTTCATCTAGTCCTCTATTATATTATTAAAGTAAAATTGGAATACCTACTTTGACATGCATTTCTTTTTTCCTATGACACTGCTTCTCCAATTTTCATGAAGAAAAAATATAGCCATAACATTAGAAAAAAGTCACTTAATTTCTACTTCAAGAACCGAACTCACATTCACGAGGCATATTCAGATGCAAACTCTCCAACTTTGGTGACATGCACAACCAGTATCTGAACCAATTTGCCTTTTTGTTAAATGCAGAAAATTGTGATCAAACTCCTTGATTTAATGACTTGGGTTGCAAGAAATTCATCTTATAAATTTATTTTCAAAGAGAACCTAAGCTGTGTTAACTGGTGTAGAATGAAACAATAGTCAGTCTAGAGAATAAAAAACATTGAGATGAACTACTGTTGATTATGTAGATTTATTTACTCTATAAGAAAATGATTTTTGTGTGTGAGAATGAAGATAGATAAGCACCTAAACAGTGTTTACCTTTTTATAGTATTTCCACAATGCCTTTTTCTTTGCAGGTGCTTAAAAAAATTGGCAGATTAAAATCTCCTGCCGGAATATACTCGGTTTCTAAGAAACCTGATTGTTTGCAAAAGATTGGGATTGCAGTGATTGCTGGGAAAATTAAGCTCTGACAGCCAGTGTGGTGAGGAAAAATTTCTGAATACACAGAAGGCTGTTACAAATTTAAAACACGAACTTCTACATCAGTTACCTCATCTTTTTGAAGATCAAAAAAGCATGTCCTTAAAACAGTGCCAGGGAGACAGGCAATTAATAAAAGTTATTTTCTATATCCAATATTATATCTTACAGTCCATGTGGATACCTGCCTTCCATAAACATAGACTAAGTATAAAACATGTTTTCAATTTTAAGAAAATAGTTTTGTTTTCCATAAAACTCTATTGCCAAAAACATGTATAGGAAAAACAGAAGGAAGAAAAGATAATCTATGACTCTATGCTGGTGTTGGAATCACAATCACACTGGAGTGAAATTTAAATGAAAGTATGCATTAAGTTGTTTTGTAATATAGATCCTACCTAACACCAAGCCTGAGATACATACGTTAAGGTTTTTTCCTTTATTGAGTTTTTAGGGTTACCTGTGACATATGTTCCTTCTGTGACATGGTACAGAAGCAAACTGCTGAATACAGTACATACTAAAGAAAAAATTCAATTCAATTAATTAAAAATTAGATTGCCTAATTTCATTTATTACTATAGTTTTCCTCTTAGGAAAAATGAATTCACAGCAAAGGTCAGAAAAATTCATAGACCTTTAAAAAAAAAAAAATCTAGGTAGACTTAGGATTTATTAACAAAATGATTGTCTTAAATGTTAGGAATTTAGAAAGCATACCCTTATTCAAGCATAAACCTATACTTATCTTTTAAAAGTTAGCATGACAGTTTGTGATGGACTAGATTAAGTGAAAGGCAGTTTTTTAAATTAGGTAAAACATGTATTTACTTGTATTGCTTCCTAAATGCATCTTCAGTTTTAAAAATAAAACAGTATATAGGAACGACAGGTTTATTCTTTTGATTTATTGTAGGTATTAAAAGTTACTTTTTTTAGATGTCACATTGTCAGGTTTGGTGTTTTCTGACACTATGAATACTTAAAAACAAATTGTTTTTGAAAGTTTTGTCATCCAGAAAGAAAAAAAAAATAAGGATATTTCCACAGTTGAAAATAGTTTTTCAAAAAAGGTTGTGAGGGAAAAAAAAAAATGTAAATAACACACCATTCTTTTTTTTATTTTTTTAAGAGAGGGTCTCACTTTGTCAGCCAGGCAAGTGCAGTGATATAATTACAGCTCACTGCAGCCTTAAACTCCTGGACTCAAGCCTTCCTCCTGCCTCAGCCGCCCAAATAGCTGGGATTGCAGGTCTGTGCCAGGACACTCAGCTAATTTAAAAATTTTTTTTTGTAGAGATAGGGTCTCACTATTTTGCCCAGGCTGGTCTCAAACTCCTGGCCTCGAGCAATTCTCTCACTTTGGCCTCCCAAAGGGCTGCGATTACAGGTGTGAGCCACTAAGCCTGGCTGACACCTCATTCCATTCTTGAAAAAGAAATGAGGCAGTTTCAAATTAAAAATACAAATGTAAATGAAATTTGATAAAATATTGAAATCTAGCTAAAATTGCATGCATAGGTATTTAATCAGTAATAAGAGGGATAGCAGTGGGACTTAAATAAGATAGGATTTATCAACAATAAATAAACATTTTTAGTGCAAATAGTGCAGAGAAATTCCTCAAAACAAAGATCATAGCAATCATCCTAATCTGTACAAACTCATTCTCAGTTCTGTATATGATCAATATAGTATATCTGTGAATCTAGCCACTGTGATGAAACATCAGTTTGCAAATCAAATATAAAACAATGGGCTTAGTTTTGTGTCTCATTCCTCTTTTAGCAGTTCATGTTTCCAGGGAAATCTAGAAAGAAAAGAAAAAATTTAAAAACTAAGATTTAAATTGATAAATTTTCATCCCTCTATATTCTCTTTGAACTAAGATTTATCTTTATAGAGATTACTTGACTATGAGAGAAGAAAAGGACCCTAGTATGTTCATATATATAAGCTATTACTCTGTGTGCACTTTCTTTGCAAAGTGTGGGAAATGCAAACTTGGTATCAAAAATCAGTCCCTGCCCTCAAGGAATTTACAGCGTGATTTGGAAAATAACATATAAAACAATTCAAATTTGGCACAATGTTAAGTACAAGGGGCAGATGAGTTTGAGCTGGAGATGAGAAATGCCAGTCATTTCCTCTCCTGTACCCCAACTCCCTGTTTTAGGAAACTTCTCATGCTTGCTTCTTATATCCACTTCTTCAACCCAGTCAACTGGGCAGAGGACCACACAACATCCATCTCTAGGTCAAACTGATTAGGCCAGGATGAATACTTCACCCATAGTGGGCCATTCTCTTTCCCAGGGGTTTGTATTGGAACTCCAGAGACTCTTTTAGTCTCCACTGACCGTGTGAATTGTCAGATGATATAATCAGGCTTGTGGGCATCTACGGTTGAAGGGCAAGTAAGACAGAAAAAAACTGTAAAGAACAGAGATGCAGAAATGAGAAACAGCCTCAGAAAGGGTGTGAGAAAGAGGAACTATATTGGTTATTGAGTGGCTGTTTTCACTCTCAGGTGACAGCTGTACTTTCCTTCATTTTGGCTCTAATATTGAGTCCCCGTGTTATCCAATAACATAAACTTTTGCCTAAGCTTGTTGGGGTGAGAACTAGTTCTTGCAACCAAATCATTCTTAAAATAGGAAAAGGAAAGGTGTATCAACATCAGTAAGGGCATGAACAAAGATATGGTGGTAGGAGGGAGAATGTGCCATGTAATATAACAAAAGGGAGAAATGGAAATTAAAATGGATGTTCTGAAATATATGCCAGATTATAGAAACCTTAACACCAAAGTGAGATGTGGCATTGCTACTGTCATTGCAAGGGGCTCAATATAGGTTATGGAGCAGAGAAAATTATATCACAGAAGTGGTATTTTAGGAAGGTCATTTTGTCAATGCTGTGTTGGAAGAACCCTCAAGTCAGGGGGACCAGGCAGAAAATTACTGGAGTAATCCTCGTGTGACATGGAAAAGAGACAGACTAGAAGTTCATTTTAAAGGAAGAAATGACAAAGGAGACTTTTGACAAATGTTAACCAAGTGAATGGTATACTCAACGCACCAGCTCAAAGAAAGGAATTATAACTTAACATTTCTACATAAGGAGCTGGCTAATGTTAAAAAAAAAAAATTCATTCGAGCCAACATCATAGTGACAACAGACCCAAAAGATTTCTAGTGATTATATGCTTACTTATATTATGTTTGATGTATAATATAAAGCATTCTATACCTTAAATAATACAATAGCTACAATGACAGAATTATGCTTAAGGCTGGATGAACAGGCACTGTTAAGAACGTTTCAGTTAAAGATATGTATGCAATTATACAATAGATTGAGACTCAAACCTGAAATACAATTTACCTATAGTGGAGCATGAAATTGGCTGTGCATTGCTATTGCCTGCTGAAGTTTCTCTTCCTTGGCTCTTCTACAGTGGCAAATCTAAAAAATAAATTATTTAAAATACCAGTCACTTTTCCAAAGATGTGCCTCTGACTTCCTATATTATGACAGACTTCTGAATAAGAATCTTTTATCCTGTTGACATAATTTCAAGTTTTGAATGTTTAAGGTAGTTAATAATTCCTCAGAATTTAAGAATCCAGAAAAACATTTAATTTTGTTTGGAAGATACCCTTTGCCTGCAGACTTCCAGGATGTAAAACAAACTATCATCCTTTATATCAATTCTGATTATATAATTGCAAAATCTGTGTTTTAAAAATATAGAAATAAATTCTGCTGTTAACCAGGAAGATTAACAAATACAAACTTCAAGGCACATTTATATAGTATCAAAAAATAATGGACCAGAAATCAATGCCTTACTAATGCTATAACCACAGGTAAGTCACTAACATGTCTGACCTTCAATTTTCTCTCATGAAAAATGGGAATGTTAAATCTGCCCTATCTGCCTTAACAGAAGACAGGTGTGTGTATGTACACACAATCTATATAACTCTCTCCTGTTAAGGCAGCTAGGGCAGATTTAACATATATATATGTGTGTATATATATCTGTGACACATGTTTTGTAAAGTTTACTAACAAAAGGTTATTTTTAACATGATGTTTCACAGAAATTAGGTAAATATTTTGGACTCTATCAAAAGACAAAAACTATTAAGCAGACTTTTTGGAGTTTTCTTTAAACTTAAAAGAAACATCAGAATAGAAACTGTTCCAGAATATTCTCAATAATATTTCAATTTTTAAAATAATCTCTATAGATTATTCTGTCTTTAAACAACTTGTAAAACAGGTCATGCAGGGGTATGTTACAACTATTAAGGCTAGTTTTAAGTTGATTTACCAGCTTTACCACAGAATGATACAGATACTCCTGTTTCAGAAACAGAAATATTACTTGATTTACTGGCTTGTGTAACTCAGAACATGAAGTTTAAAGTGATAGTAGGTTGTTGCTTTCATTTTCAATAGAGGCTTTTCAAATTCCACTCATAGCACTTCAAACTCTGGTTCAGTAATGTACCAATGTTTTTACTCATGAGTATACTTAAGCAATTTGATATGCTGTCACTCATCCTCAACTGAAGGCTATTACATACTGTTCTCTTTTCCATGAAGCTACTGAGAAAATCATCAATTTCAGTTTTTCCCTCCAAGAAATCTTCAGCAATAGTATCAGATTCTTCTTCAGCTTCATGTGCAGCTACTTTCAATCTTGCTTGTAGGGCACTTGCACTACAGCTCTGAAACAATCAAGCACCATATTAGTTTATAACACTCAGAAAAACTCCATATGCTTTACACAGCCTCTTTTTTGAGGAAATATGCTACCTTATAATGCCCCATCCTGGTTCTCAGCTTTTGGATAAGGGTAGATACCTAACTCAAGAGAAGCCAATCCAGTGGCTACAAACTATTAACTGGGCAAATTATTGTCCTCTCCTTTGGATTCTGGAATTAAATCATTACGGTAGGCATCCTCTAAGGTGACCGCTAGTGATCCCCACCTCCTGGTATTTCTACTCTGGTGTAATCCCTTTACCTTGGGGGTCAGCTGGAACTAGTGACTCCTTTCTAATGAACAGAATATGGCAAAAGTGATAATATTTCATTTAACCAAGAAGTGAAAGATTGAACACTGAAAACTATAAACACTGCTGAAAGAAATTAAAGACACAGATAAGTGGAAAGCCATCCCATGTTCATAGGTTGGAAGATTTAATGTTAAGATGACAATACTAAATAAACCAATCTACAGATTTAATGCAATCCCTATCAAAATTTCTAAGTTTTTGGGTTTTTTTTTGCAGAAATAGAAAAACTTATCCTAAAATTCACATAGAATTTCAAGAGATCTCAAAAAGTCTAAACAATCTTGAAAAAAAAAAGTTTGAGAATTATTTCCTGATTTCAAAACTTACTACAAAGTGACAGGAATCATAACAGTGTTATACTGACATAGAACATATAGTCCAATCGGACTGAATAGAGAGCCCAGAAATAAACCTTCACATATATGGCCAGATGATTTTTGGCAAGGGTGCCAAATCCACTCAATGGAGAAAAGACAGTCATGTCAACATATGGTACATCACACACAGTACAGAAATGCACCATTTCCTTATCATCCTTGCCAAAACTGGTTATCTATCTTTATAAGTTCGGCTCATGGGGATGATGTTTTATTTTGCTTTTAAAAAATATATATAGTAAAGTTGGGTATATTTTCAAATGTTTCCACATTTATGTATTCATTAAATATTCATCAAGTACCTCTTATATGCCAAGCAGGACCAAGTGTTGGATATATAGGAGGGAATAAAACAGGACAGGTTTCTGCACTCATGGAAACAACATCTACTGAAGTGGTTTTCACACTTCAGAGTGAAGAAGATTCATCATCCCTAGAGAATCTTGAGTGAGCATATCTAGAAAGGAGCCCAGGAGCCCAGGAATAAGGTGGTTTTTAAAAAATTTTTTAAGTGTTTCAGGAATCACTTCAAGCATTCTTACATGAATGTTCACAGGTCAGATTAACTGTTAAAGCAGAATCTAACTGGACATTTATATTTCTCTTTTTGCAAGTTTCCTGTTTTCTTATATGCTTTTTATAGACCGTTAGCATTATTGTCATATATGCTACAAATATTTATTCCCTTTTATAACTTCATTATTATATACAAGTTCAAGGCACATTTATATATACAAGTTTTAAATTTGATTTTATTGTATACAAGTTTTAAATCTGAATATAGCTAAACATGTCAGGTCTTTCCTTTATACTTCTGCTACTTTGATTATGTGTAGAAATGTTTTTCCCACCATATTCTTTAAAAAAAAAATCCTAGGAGCTAGTTGATATTTATGGTATCCACTGAAATAGTTTATCTGTAATACCTTTCCATGTTCTGTATACTATAGCATTCTAACCTTTTTCTAAATGAGTACCGAATAGTTAATTATATAGTTTATTGAATCTTTCATTTTTTCCAACCATTTACTCACATATACAAGTCTATTTTTGAACTTCATAGTCTGTTCCATAGGAATATTCTTCTCTTCCACAAAACTATTTCACTCTTTTCAATAATGAGGTTTTACTGCGTATTTTGATATTGGGAAAAGAGGTCTTTCTTGTTACTTCTTTTTGTTCATTATTACTTTTACTTCCTGACTACTTTTCCCCATTTAGTCTTTCATATGAACTTTAGAATAAACCTGTTAAGATTAAAAATTATATACTCTTGGGATTTTGATTACAACTATCTTAAATTTATAATTTATTTAGAAAAGAATGAAATCTTTATTAACAATGTATCTTTCATTTAATGAATAGTCTATGTTGCTCTAAATAGTCTTAGAACCTAGAAAACTCAACTCTTCTTATATGTAATTCAGTAAGGTTTCCTAACTTCTTCATTGGATTCACTTCTAAGTATTTTAGTTTTGTTGCTATTGTAAATGAGTTTTTTTCCTCGACTTAATTTTGCAGTAGTAATTGTTGCAGTATAGGCGAAAAAATTCTCAATTCTCTAGAATTTCTGATTATTTTTGGTAAACACTTTTTTCATTTCTTCTTTTACATTATACCTCTTTTTTCCCTGGTCTTGTTGCAGTGGTCAATACCTCCTAAGCAATGCTGAATAGCAGTGATAAAAGGGCATTACTCTCTTGTTCCTAACATTAATGGAATCTTGGAAATGTGAAGTCATTAAGTGCAATGTTTATTGTTGGTCTCTAATATTCTTTTTTTTTTTTTGAGTTGGAGTCTCACTCTGTCACCCAGACTGGAGTGCAGTGGCACGCTCCTGGCCACCACAGCCTCGACCTGCTGGGCTCTGGCGATTCTTCCGCCTCAGCCTTCCAAGTAGCTGGAACTACAGGCGCACGCTCCCATGCCCGGCTAATTTTTTTGATTTATTGTAGAGATGAGGTCTTGCCAAGTTGCCAGGTGGGTCTTGAACCTGCGGGCTCAGGCAATTCACTCACCTTGGCCTCCCAAAGCACGGGATTACAGGCTGAGCCACCGAGCCCAGCAGGTCTCTAATATTCTTTATCAAATAAATTAATTTCTATTTTATAGTTTACTAAGAGCTTGTATAAGGAATGATGTTGAGTACTGTGAAAGCTTCTTCAATATCTACCAAGCTTTAATGTGTATCTAAGAATATTGCAGTTGTTTGTCACAGATTTCTGTGAAGAAAGACTGCCTCGGTTAGATTTCTAACTCTAATATTTTCTATGTATTTTATTTCAAGAAAGTTATTTAATATCCCTGTGCCTTAATTTCCTCATCTGCAAAATGGAAAAAAAGTAAAAATACCTATACTTCATAGAATTTGGTGCAATAAAGGGGCAATTTATGAAAATAGCTTCATGTAGTACAAGTCACATATTCATTATTTGATGTTAGCTATTCTTGTTTTTTTATTCTAAAGCATGATCATATTATCTGAAATTCATTATAAATTTATGTTCTCCTTTATCATCTTTTTTTGCTGTTGTTGTTTTATTCTTTTTTGTTTTCTTGCATTGGCTTTTCTTTCTAAAACTCCCGATTTTAAAGGAAATGGAATATAAATTATGATGTTGTTCTAGGTATGAGATATAAAGATTATATCCTCTGTTCTCTTTTTTAATTTTTAAAAATTTTTTTCAGAAATATAGGTTAAACTGGATTTCTACTATTTAAAGTGAATTATACTTTTCAATTTGCTAACTTCATTTAAGATATTTGTACATAAGCTTATAAGTGAGTCAAAAGTTAAAGTTTTTTGTTGTTAGATTTTTATTACAAGGGTTTCAGTAGTTTTATAACTTACCCAGAAGTTATCTGTGAAGGCTTGTCATATTTTTCTATGTTTCTATATGCCTCCTAACTGAGAGCTGTTCATATACATTTAAAGGTATCATGCCTAATGAAATCAGATACTCAATATGTGATTTTCTGATAACAAGGAAAGTGGAAACGTGACTCATGTACATTAAGATGAAAAATTCTTGTAGCAAAGGAAAAAGACTAAATAGTCTTACCTCGCTGAGTTCATGTTGCCTTTGCATTTTCTTTTCAAAAGCAGACTTCATTTGTGTAAGCAATTCATACTAAAAAAGAAAATAAAAATGGTGGTTTTTCTGTTTTTAAATTATGTAAATTTCTTCAAAATGATCATTAACTTACCTTATCTAAAACAATTTGTCTTTTGGCTTCTAGGCTGGGCTCCAAATGGAGATTTTTTCCTGTAAGATAAATCTCTGGTTTATTTATCAGTAAAGATCACATTTTTCTCAGGAAATCTGAGCTGGCAAGGGAATACATACTTGCTAGTTCCTCAATACTTTTTACTAAGTCATCCTTGTCAGTAACAATTTGTTTTAATTGAGGCAAAGTCAGAAACTGTTCTAGTAATACTTCTTCTTGTTCATTCATATCTGTGAGTTGTGACACACTAGAAACACACAAAAAAAATGTTGTTAGTATCAGTCATCAGATTTTCATCTATGATGATAAATATTCATAATGTTCAGCTTTATTTAGTTGACAGGGATCTAAATAATATATATATATGAAGTCCAATTATAACCTTCAAGGTACCAGCCACAATGGAACATAAAGTAGCCTGTGATACATTCTTGACAGACTTAGGTTAATTCTGGCCCAATGGATATACTGATGTATCTACTGTATTTTAAATCTCAACTGTGGGAAACTGTTTACAATTAAACATTGACCTGAAATCAACTGTAAGACAGTCTGCTTAACTCAGGTCAAGAAAAATGCATAAAACTAGGACTCTCCCTTATTTAGCTGAGCCTCCTTAAAATAGGAAACTAGTAATATAGTTAAATATTTCTTTCTTCTTAATCCTATTTAATTTAATTGCTTTAGAATATCACTTATTTTTTGAATTTCCCTGATATGAACCAGCCTTACTGATAAGTAAAGTTTAAGTTATTTATTTCTTCCAATCATAATGTTGAAATATTAGTAATATAGTAAATTCAAAAGAGTAAAAGTCTACAGACAAGCTAGCATTAGAAGACTCTCTTCCTATTCCTTTCATTATATATATTGATTGGAGGGAAACAGAATTGAAAGAGGCCAGAGTAGTTACTTTAATATTTTGACTTATGAAAATCTTTTATGGGAGGCTATTCTATCTAGTCAGTTTTAGACAAGGTCAGTGTCTGATTCCAAGGGTATGTTGGCTAAAATGTAGCCAAAAGAATCTCCCAAGAGCTTACAAGATAGGCTCTGCCACTGTATAATATCAAATTACTATAGGACTACTAAAACTAGGGTGCTTGAACAGTCATAACAGCCTCCCAATTTTAACCTCTGTGCCTATTTGGCTAATAGAGGTATGGCTGTTACAATAAAAGATATAGGCATGTATATAGGTGTGTGTACATTTATTCATAAAATATTTAAGGAAAAAAAATAATGGTAGGCTGAGCCAAAAACAGAAATGGATATCTGTAGGGTGAAAGACAGCACTGGATGGAGGGGATACGATGGAAGCTAAGCCATTTTGACCATGGAGCTGTATAGAAACATTAGTTAATTTAAAAATAATTAAAAGGGCTGGGCTCAGTGGCTCAGCCTGTAATCCCACGCTTTGGGAGGCCAAGGTGAATGGATTGCCTGAGCCCGCAGGTTCAACACCTGCCTGGGCAACTTGGCGAGACCTCATCTCTACAATAAATAAAAAAAAAATTAGCGGGGCATGGTAGCACGCGCCTGTAGTTCCAGCTACTTGGAAGGCTGAGGCAGAAGGATCGCGGGAGCCCAGCAGGTCGAGGCTGCAGTGGCTGGGAGCGGCCACTGCACTCCAGTCTGGGCGATAGAGTGAGACTCCAACTCAAAAAAAAAAAAAAATTAAAGGAAAAAAGGAAATATAAAGCAGTCTCCAAAAATGAAAACAAATGATTGCTATGGAAGTAAATGAACCTGTTTTTTTCTAAGTTATAGAATCACCCAGAGAATAATTATTTGAAGAAACTAAAAACATAGTGTTTGGCTGTGGGTTCTGGTATGGTATATCCTAAAGACAAACTACAAACAAATGAAACAAAAGCTTAACCTGCATTCAGTAATCTTAGTAACAATATTGGTATTATTATTTTGAAAAAGAACAAATGCTCTTCAGAAAAATGGCTGACTCTAGGTCTGGGAGAAGAAATGTTCATGATGAGTCCATGAAATCTTTATTTTGCTGGAAATAATGCAAAAGCCAACTGGAGTTTCTCACCTATCACAACTTTTGCAGCCTGCTAGTGCATCAATTCATTATGGTGATATTGATCAAGAGAAAAATCAAGAGGTATTCTTGTTTTTCCTGTATAAAGTGTATTTAAGTATAACTAAATACATAGTTGATTAAGGAAAGCTCTTCATAGAAGAATTCTGGCAAATAAATTCTGACAGTAAGAATGACAAAATTTTAAAAAATCACATTTGCAACCATTAATAAATTAATGATGGTCAATGATTTCAGGTGCTTCAACCTGATGTAATCTTAATATCAATAAAAATAGCAACTAGACATCATTGCTGCCTCATGTGATATAACAGGAAGTAGGCGCCAGTGATGATGTAAATATTGGCAAAAATATTGAACCAGGTCTAGTTCTAGCTGCCAGTACTATAAAATACAGGAAATAGAAGAACATATTCAATGGTGCTATCAGGCAAAAATACAACTTGGAAAATTTTATATAATGCATTTATTTAATAAATAATAACAGATGTATAATACATATAGGTACATATGTGTACATCTATATATGTATGTAAATATATATGTGTATGCAAGTATATGTGTAAGTGTGTGTGTATAAAAGATACGGAGAAATGGTTCATGATTAAAAAAATATCCACTATCCAAATGCAATAGGTGGACCTTGTTTTGAATCCTGAGTCAAATAAATTACTCATAAAAAGATTCGATTATCAAGACTCTGGAGAAATAAGATAATATTAAAGCATTATCATTAATTTTGGTAGGTATGATGATGCTGTTGGTTGGGACTATGATAAAAAAAAAAGAAAGAAAGTCCTTACCTGGTAGAGAAATTTACTAAAGAATGGATAGGTAGGTAATTATAATATAATATTTGATACTTGCTTTAAAATAATTCTGACTCTCACCCACAGCCACCCAAGAAAGCTGGGTAGAAGCAAGATGAGAAAAAAGGTTCATAACTGTTGATGCTAAATGATGGATAGATGCAGTCTCATTATACTATTCTCTTGACCTTTTTCTGTTTTTGACATTTTCATAACAATTGTTAAGAAAAAGAAAAATGTTAAAGGGAAAAAAGAAAGATCATAATTTATCTTGGTAGCTCCCACTTCATAAGGTTTTGTGGACATTACAATGCATATTAATCCTTAACATACATGTGGTATAATATGAACATTAACAGAGTTAGCAGAAAATAATAAATCACTATTTCAAAAAAATGACTGTAAAACACTGAGTCAAATAAAGTTAAATCCTTTTATTAAAACTGTAGAATTTCTCAAGGGTATTTGGCTGTATATTCCTGGTAGGATATATCCTAAAGTCAAAAATAACCGCAAATTTTTTTTTTACTTCATTCAGTAGTCTTAGTAATAATGGCCTTATCTGTATCATAAATCTTCAATGGGATATAAAGGATACAATGTTTCCCAAAACTGAATGGCCACAAAATACTTTTTTCATGAAGCACCTTAGAGGAACAGTGTTCCATGAAAAATGGTACCTTAAACTTGAATATTACAAACTCATCTTCTATAAATTTGAATACAATTTTGGCTTTGTCAAAACACCTTACTAGGATAACTTTCTCTATATACAAAGTTTATTTACTAAAGGAAAAATGAAAGATCTAAAGTAGGCCAAGATATATTTTGCACATCAGGAGTAATGTATTTAGAAATAATTATCAAAGAATATATGCCACATGGGAGAAAGAACCTTGTTATCTTGGTAGCTATTATATAATTTCTAGCATCTCAAAAAATCCCTGGATATAGCTAATCACTCAATAAATACAGTCTATAATACCTAAAACTGATTTGTAGAACTTTTTCACCAAGGAATAGCAAAGATTTTAAAAAATTCTTTTAGTTAATATGGATATGAAATAATTTCGTTCATACTTACAAATAAAATAGATAATTACACCAACTTAACTCTCTAATTTTTTTTTTACCTTAGCTCTGAGAGTTCTGGAAATGCATCAGGGACATCTGGCATCTTGTACCCAAAACCATTTTGGCTTGTCTAAAGAAGAGTTTTAAATGACATTAAATTTCAGCCATTTTTTAATTGCTCCTATTTACTTGTGAAAGTAATTTTTAATGTACCATATGCCACAACTGCTTTCACTATCACATCATCTTTGCATTTCACATTGTACTCACTCTCTCCTTCCTTCAGTCTATTTTTTTCAGTTAACTTTGTACATATAGTGTTACTTTTTTTTTTTTTTTTTTGGTGAGGGCCATGTGAGCACCTGTGTTAGCTTTCTTTCCTGGGCATGTATAAATAAATCTCTTAAGTGTATCTGTGACAGGTGGAGAGAAGTATCTGTGGATTCCGTTGATGTATGTGGATATATTTCTCTCAAGTGAAAGGCATTCGATATAGAAAAACATAAAAAATTGACAATAGTCTGAGTAATTTCATACCTAAGTTAGATGAGATAGTAGGGTAGATGAGGAACAGAGTATCCACTGTTTGAATATATGAAAACATATATGTATTTTTATACTTGAAGACACTTGAAAAGGGTCTCTTGCAATTTTGTTTATACTACTAATTATAGTTTGTTTATAATATTCATTAACACAATAAAATGAAAGGTTCTGAAAAACAAAGTCCATTTGGGTCTATACTGTGATTCTAAATGATCACCAACTCTGAAATTAGTTGGATATAAGGTTTATAATATTTGGGTATCATATGATGATATTCACTAAGGGTCAAAAGTGAAGGTTTTAAAAACTTTAAATGTGTTAAGCACAGAGTATTAGTCTTTTATTCAGTAACATTCCACCCACAGGGCAACAGTTACCAGTTTAAGTTTACCATTTTTAGAACAGCAGGCTACTAGAAACCCTTAGCACACCACAGCCAACCCACCACCTCACACCTGCTTCTTCTGCGTGATCATCTTGTGCCTTTGCCTACACCCTAAATGGCAGCTAGAGAGATTGATTATAGGAAGCTTTATAAAATGCCATGTGGTTTATAGCTTAATGCCTTTGTCAATATTACTTCCTCTCAGATAATGCATTATATATCACCCCATTGTTGTCCTGGAAAATTTATAACCATCTTTCAAAATCTGGCCTCAAGCACACATTCATTCATTGTCCTCATTTTTATTGAGCACCTACTATATATATCAGGCCTGGTTTGAGGCACTAAAGATACAAAGTGGTACAGAAAACAGAATCGCATTTCTTTTGTAAAGACATTGTGCTAGTTCTTCCTGTGGAGTGCAAACAATTCCCTCAAGTGTGTCTCCACCAAAATTCTAGACTGTCTCTTCCATTCTACTAGAAATTTCTTGTTTGCAATTATTTATTTGTTGGTTGCCTAAGTCTGCAACTTGAGTTGAAAAATATGATTTAATCTTTTCATATTTTGTGACTAGTGGCTGGTACAAGTAGCATATAATAAATGTTTGTTGATTAGAATGAATGTGTTAATGGCACAAAATATAGATAATGAAAGATACCAACCGGTGCTGAATTATCTGTTGTGGGAACAGGTAATGGCAGGTTTGAAAGGACGCCAAATGAAGGAGCAGCTGGCTTGGCTGTGGTATAACTTGTTGTTGAAGAAGCAACAGTGTCAGCAACAGATAAAGAAGTGATATTTCTGTTAGCTTCTTGTGGGGGATACGGAGGAAGAAATGGAAAACCCTGAGAAGCATAAGGAGGCATCCCACCTGGGTTACTATATAGGCTGAAGAGAAAAAGAGAAGATCATTAGATTAGATTTTAGGGTACAGCCTGTAAAATTATTCCTAAATTGTTCTAAAGAGCAATAGTCATGCAATTACAGGCAGAATCTTTTTTTGGCAGGTGATACTTATTAAATTATATAACTGAATTAAATATTACATAAAGTGATAAAATATGAACCCCCAAAATGAGAATTGTGGTTTCTATTAAAAAGATGAATGCTTTAGAAAGCATACAATTCAACAAGTCAGAGTAGAAATGAATAGACAGGCCATGCTTGAGCTTTTGGTACTCCATTGGTATCAATCAGTATCTCCATAATCTCCATAAAGGGAGTAGAGGACAGTATTTAATTAAGAAAATGTATCTAACTGGGGCTGCTTAGCAGTTTTCTCTATATTTGGTCAATTGTGCTTTTTCTTTTTAAAATTTTTTTAAAGAAAAATTAAATGTCCAGATGAACTACTAAAAACGTTAAAATATTCAAAACAGATGCATATCATATATAAACATGTATGTATATTAGAAAGACTAGCACAGCATAATGTTTGTGGGATTTAATCATAGAACAATGTAGTTGATACTTGTTTTTGCAAGATAAGAAATATTTACATTTAACATGTTTTCCCCCTTAAAAAATTTCAGAGAGAATCAGATTATAAAAGAATTAGAATAATTCTGGCCTAAATGCAAACTGAGAATCATCTACACAGTAAGATGGTTAATAATACAGTAAGTTATAAGGGTCAGTTATTCTCACGTAAAGGATAAAGGATTTGTGTTTATGTTTTTTTTTTTTTTTGAGTTGGAGTTTCACTCCGTCGCCCAGACTGGAGTGCAGTGGCCGCTCCCGGCCACCACAGCCTCAATCCACTCGGTTCTGGTGGTCCTTCTGCCTCAGCCTTCCGAGTAGCCGGAATTACAGGTGCGCCTACCACGCCCGGCTGATTTTTTATTTATTGTAGAGATGAGGTCTCACCAAGTTGCCCAGGCGGGTCTTGAACCCGTGGGCTCAGGCAATCCACTCACCTCAGCTATGTTTTAAACATAATACTAACTGCTAAACTGTTTCACTTTGTACTGTTCCAAAATATATAAAGCTTAATTCTTAATTTTTTACAGGAGTACTACTATTTCATTTAATGACACAAATTAATCTGAGCTGGAAATTTTGTTGAAAGAAAACATTTATTGCAGATTTTAAAATGTATACAAATGACACTGAAGTTCATGTGGATAAATAAACAGAAGTAGAAGAAAAAAAAGTCTGAAAAAGGAGGAAAAGAAATATTAGCCCTCTTATACAGCACAACAAATTACAAAACCTTAATAATTAAAATAAAAGTTAAAGCACAGTACCAGTGAATGCATAGATAGATCAGTGGATCTACATATAAAATCCAGAAAAAGACCAAGCACGTATGAGAATTAGGGTATATTAATAATAAAGATAGCATCTCAAATTGGTGAGAAAAAGAACATTCAATAAATAGTGTTGGGACATCTGTGAAAAAAAATTAGAGCCAGATCCTCATATTTACAATAGCATAAAAATCTAATGGATCAAGGATTTAAGTGGTTTTTAAAAAAAAATCTTAAAAGAACTAGAATAAATCATTGGGAAATTATAAGCTTGGGGTGGGAAAGAACTTATAGTGATTCCCAAATTCAGAAGTCACTAGAGGAAATAATGATTAATTCCACATCATATAAAAAAATTACATGATTAAGCCCTTTATAAGACAAGTAATAAATTTAGGGGAAAACATTAGAAACTCCTATCACAGATAAAGGAATAATTTCTCTAATATATAAAGAATTCCTACAAATTGATAAAAAGACTAACAACCCAAGAGCAAAATGGAGAGTAGGATAACAAAAAGAGGAAAAACATCTCTAAAATATAGGAAATGATGCTTAACTTCACTGTTAGTAAGATAAATACAACTAAAATTATACTAACACATATTCTGCCTATCAATTGGCAAAGATCCATTTTGATGATATACTATTTTGGGAAAGTATATAGGAAATAGACATTGCATACAGGAGTAGAAACTAGTAATAAGTACTCCAGAAGGCAACTTTGCAGTATTTGTCCAATTTACAAATGTGCATACCACATCTAGAATTTATCTAACAAATATACTCGTATTTTGGTAAAACAGTATTTTTAAGATGATTTATTACTGCACTTAGGGCAAAGAATGGTTGGCCTTTTAGGAGAGACTTGAAACAATAAAAATACCCATCAATAGGAATCTTGCTAAATAAACTGTAGTAAATTCATAAATATTCTGTGGCCATAAAGAAAAATGAGAAAATGTCTTCAGTACTAACATGGAAAACTTTCTGAACTATACTATAGAGTGAAAAAAAGAGCAAGGGAATAGTAGGCTATCATTTGTGTAAAAGGGGGGGGGGCATAAAACACTACATAAACATATTTTCTTGCATATGGATAAAATATCTCAGCAATTATATATACACAAACCCAAACAAATAAGTTTGAATGCCAATGAGGAGAAAAGTTGCAAAGAGAAAAAGAAGTGGCAAGCAGTCTTCACTCCATACTCCTTAATATTTTTTGAATTTTGTTTTCTCTCTCTCCCCCTCCCTCCCTCCCTCACTCCCTTCCTTCCTTTGTTCGGCTGGAGTCTCACTCTGTTACCCAGGCTGGAGTGCAGTGTCATGCTCACAGTCACTGCAGCCTCCACCTGCTGAGCCTCAGCGGTCCTTCTGCCTCAGACTTCCAAGTAGCTGAAATCACAGGTGCACACCACAATGCCCAGCTAATTTTTTATTTATTTATTGAGGTCTCACTAAGTGCCCAGGCTGGTCTTGGAACCCCTGGGCTCTCACAAGACTCTCACCTCGGCCTCCCAAAGTGCTAGGATTATAGGTGTGAGCCACCATACCTGGCATACAAGTTTTCTAATAAGCTTGTTCATATAAAAGGATGGCTCATCTTAATCTTAAAACTTTACTTCTATCCAAAGGAATTAGTTATATGTATGTATGTATGTAAATATAACAAGTTATTTAGAAACAATATGAGCAACATGAGAGATTATTTATAATATACTTGAATTAAAGTCTTGATTATTCTGAGCCAACCTGCTTTATTTTGAATTCAGTATCAAGTGCAACCCATAAAATAAGAAATGCATCAAACTTGACTTTTAATAATGTGCACTGTATCCCTAGAACTTAAATGAAATGAGAACAAGTAAATTTGTGGCTTATATTTCCAAAAAGGTCAGTGAGTTTATATCCAACATCATCCCCATAGAAGATAGGAAATATAACAAAATTTTTATCCAAAAATAAGAACTCAGGACTCTAGGATATAGATAACAGGAAGGCAAAGATGAGGGGGAAAGGGCTGAGGTACCTACTGAACTTGATGAGCTAGCTAAGGAGATTTCCAGACAGTGTTGAAGATATTATCTGACGTTTGAACAAGAAAAAGTTTTCAGAAATTAAGTAGGAGGACTGGAAAATAAAGCCAAGAAATATCTTGGGAAGAAGAAATAAAAATGCAAACAAGGACAATAAAAAAATCAAATATTTCTAACAGCTCCAATATCATACTTAAAGGAGTTCCATAAAGAATGAAGAAAAACAAAAAGATGGGATAGAAAGTACAAGAAAAAGGTGGGCTAGAATGTACTAGAAATAAAGACATGACTCCCTAGATTTAAAAGGACCATAAAATACCAGCACATTGAAAAAGACTATCAGCAAGTTGTACCATCATGCAGGTTCAGAAATTCCAAGGGTAAACAAAAGTTACAAAGGATAAGAAATAAAAATGGTATCAGATATCTTGATAACAGTGAAAGCTTCTATATAAACAATAGAACAATGCCTTTAAATTTCTAAGTGAAAAAAAACATTTTGACCTAGAATTCAAACTGTACCAACTATCAAGTGTGAGACATTTACAGATTTTTTTTTAAAGTCTCAAAATTTATCTTCCAAGCATCTTTGGCATATTGTACTTTCACAAACATTTCACATCACTATTTCCAATCCCATATGCTCTTTCAGAGCCTTGCTACTCCCTTCCCTTGAATCTGGTCAGGACACTGCAACTGCCTCAGCAAACAGAATGTAGCAGAAGTGACACTGAATTGACTTTCTCATGGTTATCTCTTAGGATGCTCACCCTTGCAACCCAGCTATCATGTTGTAAGGAAGCCCAAGCCACACAGAGCAAAATAAGTGTGCTCATTGTCTTAAGCCATAATTTTCTGGGTAATTTGTTACGCAATCTTAACAACCAGAAGAGATTTTGGTACCTGGAAGTAGAACACTGCTATATCCAAAAAAATAAAACAAAACAAAACAAAGCAAACAAACAAAAGCCTGAAATATTGGAGTAGCTTTGGAATCAGGCAGAGGAGAAGGCTGGAGGTATCTTCAGAAGAGTATGAAAGACTGAAGACCTCTAAGAGACTGGTAAGTAACAAGAGCCTAATGGGCCTTTGAACAGATGGTCACTGTAAGGGGAACTTTGTATTAGTGAAAAGTTTTCTAATACTGTTGTTTGCAATAATGTGGAAAACAGAAAATGTACCTAGTGAGTTGGATGATCTAGCTAAGGAGTGTGGAAGGTGCCATCTGACTTCTAAACAGCTGTAGTAAAATGTGAGAGGAGAGAGCGAAGTTAAAGAACTGCTAAATATAAAAAAGACAATGGCTGGTGCAGTGGCTTATACCTGTAATCTCAGCAGTTTGGGAGGCCAAAGTGGGAGGACTGCTTGAGCCCAGGAGTTTGAGACCAGCCTAGGCAACACAGCAAAACATTGTCTCTACTGAAAAAATAAAAAAAATTAGCCAGGCATGACGGTGCATGCTTATAGTCTCAGCTACTTGGGAGGATGTGATGGAAGGACTACCTGAGCCTAGAAAGTTGAGGCTGTAGTGCGACATGATGGTGCCACTGTGCTTCATCCTGGATGAGAGAGTGAAATCCCAACTCAAAAAAAAAAAAAAAAAAAAAAAGACAAGATTTTCTGGGTTTGAAAATAAAAATGTCTCTTATTCTCAGCTTCTGGAAGATTCTCCAATTAAGAAAGACCTTACAAATTTCTAGACCTGGAGTGGGCTAGAAGATCCTTTGTTAACACCTCTGAAGAACAAAATCAGTGCCTCAGACAACTGTACAGAAAGAAAAAAGGCCATCTAGGGCTTCTAGGAATCTTAAGGACATTGTCTCTTAGCAGCTTCACTGGAAGCCAATAGCTTATTTATGCAGAACTTTGTGAATTTTGTTTTTGTCTAATGAAATGAATAAAAAATGCATTCTTAAGAAAATCATACCATTTTAAAGGAACTACATCATCTTGGTCTAAAAGGGACAGAGAAAAACAGTATCAAATGAAAAGATGTCTTTGAAACCTTAAACTTCTATAGACAGGCTGAAAAAACTACTCAACTGCAAACAAAGGCTGCATTTTATAGAAAGAATGATGCAAATAGCAGAACCTGAACCTAGAATTATTTTGCGAAGAATCATTTTCATGAACTGAGATTTAAAAAAAAAAGGACCCACTTGGATTTCAGTATTGCTAAGAACAAGGAGTTCCCATATGGTTCCTGTTTTCTCCCTTTTTGAGTCTATAATGGTTATCCTAGGCTGGTTCTATCATTGTATGACAGGTAGCTACCTTGTCTCGTTTAATTTACTTGTGTTCAAATGAAGAATTGTTCTTAAGGAACACACGTGAGAAACTTTGTACCTGTACCTGTTTTAGATGACAAAACACTGAACTTTGAACACAAGCCTGATTCTGCAATATGATGTACTCTGAAAGATCTTGTGAGAGGAGAAGGATGCATTTTCACATGTAGGAAAGAGTTGAAATCTTGTGGCTAGAAGAACTGTGACAGATTGTATTTTCCCACATGCTCTTCTTGACCTTTCCCACCCCACTGAGGGAATCTATTTCCCCTCCCCTTTCATTCTGGGTGGGACTTTGGAACTTTGCCAACAAAATGCAGCAGAAATGATGCTGAATGACACCGAGGGCTTTCACTTGGCTAGCTTGCTTTCACTCCTGAGATCCTGGCCTTTAAAAGCCAGCCCGCTGTGTGGCAAGGAACCCAGGTCACATGGAGAGGCCACTTACAGATGTATCAGTTGATAGCTCCCACTAAGGTCTTAGCATTTAACCAACATTAACTGCCTAACATAAGAATTAAGTGAGCCTTCAGATGATTTCAACCCATAGACTTTAAGCCACACCTGCTAACCCCAAAAAGTAGAGCAAGAACAAGCTGCTGCCACTGGTTCCTAACCAAATTGCAGATTCATAGAGAAAATAAATGTCATTATTTTTATCAACTTTTAGGGTAATTTGTTAGGCATCCCTAGTAACTAGAATACACTTTTACTCAGGAAGCTACTGGAAGGCAGTAAACCAAGAAATTAGAAAATAGTCTGAGAAAGAGAAAAACATAAGATCCAAGAAATGGGGAATCCAATACAAGAAATTGGCAAAGGAAAATTCCAGGATGATAACAAAGAGACGTTCCAGGCTGAGAGTTGTGCAACAGTCTGAGAGAGTAACTCAGAATGGAGGGAAAAAGTGCCACACAGATTACAAGGAAAAAAAACCCAAACCTAGAGCTCATCTGACTGGTTTGATGACGTGAAAAAATGTTTTTTTTCCAGAGGTGCTAAAAGCTCTGAAATTTAAAAATCTTAAAATTTAATAAAATGTGGAAAATTAAGAAGACCTAAAAAACCAAAACCAATGCAAAATGGAGGTAATTACTAATTCCAGAAAAAAAAAAAAGCAAAAAATTATACCATAAGGGAATAATAATAAGTGTAATCATGGTAGTGTATTTGGTACAACAGAAGACAATATTTAGAGTCATACACCAAATATGGACTTACATTAAAAATCACAACATAATTTCACTGGGAGAAGGAGGAGGAGGGAAGTTTTGTGAAAAATGGTTAAAATCCTCATCTATGATAATAGGAGTTCAATAGACAATGATGAAAATAAAAGAATTAGGAGACAGCAGCATGTACACATTATTCAAAAAGATGAAGGTAAATATTAGAAGAAACAGCTAAAGAAGAAAACAGTTGCTTCTGTAAAGTGTGAATATATCTATGTGGAGGCAGAAATCGGAGGACTGTTTTCTAACATCATTTAAATTTTTAAACGTATTTTGATTACTTTAAAATACATTAAAATATATGCAAAACATTTTACTTGTTATAAATATACTTACTATGGAAATGCTGTTGAAGTAGGGGCTAGAACTGGAGGATTCTTCCAAAATTCATCCAACAGACTCTGAATAATTTTTCCAAGATCTGAGTGCATTGTAAACTGAAAGTAACAGTAATACATGATGATTTCAGAAAAATATTATAAAGTCTCACTAGGATGTCACTCTAAATATTAACCCACTTTTACAGGTCAAGAGTTAAATGAAAAGCAAAGAATATTAGCTATCCACAACTTACAACATTTTCTTATAGCATCAACACCACAAATCTCTCTGGTAATTAGTAAATCAGGTTATTAGTCCATTTAATCAATAATGGAGCTGAAATATTTCCACACTCACTATTTATAATAATTTGAGGGTTCTGAGCCGGGCTCGGTGGCTCAGCCTGTAATCCCGCGCCTTTGGGAGGCTGAGGTGAGTGGATTGCCTGAGCCCGCGGGTTCGAGAC